CTTGTGCAATTCCGGAAAAGCCGGAATTCCTGCCTATTCCGGGTGATGCCGGAAAAGCCGGAATGTGCACGAATTCCAGAATTCCGCTACGGAATGGAATAAGTCGCTCACCATGTTCATTTCTACATCAAGCATATCTTTCGTAATTCCGGAATCGGCAGGAATAGTATTAATCAAATAGAAGGAATTCCGGAATTGGCAGGAATCGAATTCGATCTGTTCCGGAAAAGGCAGGAATCGTATGCAAGGAATTCCGGAATTGAATGATGTGAAATTGGGTGGGTGCAGCGATTCCGGAATGTGTAACTTTTGGGAATAGGAAGCATTCTCCACCTTCAAGGTTGTTATTTGTTTGAAAAGAGTTTTATTATTGCTTCTCTTGTTAGCTGAATTTATTCAATGTGATTATCTATACATACAATAATGATTGATTCGTCTTTTAAATAGAACAAAAATATATATATGGACGTGTAAAAATATCTTGGATCAAAATACGAGTTAATTAGTGATGAATTCTAAATACACAATAGCAGTTCTAATATTTGAAATAAATTATTTCGTTTATTTTTGATACTAAGATTATTATTATTGTTCATTTCTTTTTATTTGAGATTTATTTAATCGCTTATATAATTGACAAGAGAATCAATAAAAACGATTCTAAAATACTTGTATAGAGAACAGTAAAAACTAATTAAAAAACAGTTTTTCCTGAAGCTCTCAACACATGAAATTATCAAAACAAAACTAAAATAAGAAAAAAAAGGAAGAAAGAAAATCTTGATGAAACGAGAACGTTACACTTGACAAGCAATTACATAATCTCAGTTAATCAGATAACAACATGAACTTCTAGTTTCTTGTCTAATATTTTATCCAAATTTGTTTATTCATGTGATGCGAAGCAAGGAATTTATTTAATGTTGCACTTTTTTTCTTTCTCGACCTACGGATTAAAAGTTGTCATTTTATGTCGCGATAATCTCAGGACCAGAACATCGGTAAGTACTTTCTTAAACACAATACGAATACATCAAGATTGAATTAATACCTTTTTTCACATTTCGAGATAATTAAAACCAAAAGAGAAAGTAAAAAATAGGCATTAATTTCTTCTAATAAATGTTGTTCAGCTAATAGTAGATGATTAAACATTGAATCGTCAGTGTTTACTCAACATATATTAATTTAAATGCTCGATTCAGATGAACGCCTTTATTCAATTACTGTCACATATATTTTGATAACACATCAATTTCAGTTAATTTTAAGATAGTCATGAATGTTAAGAAAGCTGGAAACTTATTTTTCTTTCTTTCTCTATTTACGCATTCAAAGTTGTCATTTCATATCGCGATAATTTGAGGAACAGAGCATCAGAAAATATTTCTTTAAACACGAGATGAACATAATAAGATCAAGCTGATACCTTTTATCTCCGATCTTTCATAAAAAGTTTAGTTTGCTTACAGGAAGTATCGCAAGAACTCGATTTTGACTATGCACTTTCCTTTTTTTTTTAGATTATTTATTAAGAAAACAAAATTATCAATGGCTGATGCTAACGACTATCTGCAATTCATTAAATATACACTTTTACAAATTACTATTGTTCCATCTTTAATTTGTGATATATTTGTTTTCATTCATTTTATTCGTTATTGGAAAAAAGAAATGACTACTGCACCACAAAATCATATAATTTTTTGTTTACTTCTAGTCAGTTTTATACAAAAGATCAGTGATGTACCTTTTGCTATATATTATTTTCGATGGAATATTGTTTATCAACAAACATATAATTTTTGTGTTATATGGGATTGGTTTAATTATACAGCGATGACTGTTAGTTTACAACTTGTATGTTGGTGTTCACTTGAAAGACATTTATTTATTTTTCATAGTCAGATGATGAAAACAAAAGGATTTTTAATTTTATTTCATTATATACCTATGATTATATGTTTATCATATACACCAATTTTCTATTTGCGATACATATTCTTTCCAACATCGTGTACAAATACTTGGGATTATACGACTATTTATTGTGGTGGTGCATGTTATTCATATTATGATGCAGTTCTAGGTACTTTTGATTGGTTATTTAATTATGGTTTACCAACAATGATTATCATTTTTGCAAATCCTCTTATTATTTGTCGTATCTTATGGCAAAAAATCAATCGACAAAGACCAGTTCAATGGAGTCGTCAAAGACGTATGATTATTCAACTTAGTTTTATTGCTCTTCTTTATTTGTTATTTATGGCACCACAAGTTATCGTCGGATCTATGCAAACTCTATGGGGGGTAGATTTTCTTTACGATGTACAAGCTGATTATTTCTATTATATTGTATATTTTATTAATCAATTATTGCCATTTGTTATTATTAGTTCACTACCTCGAACACACAAAAAATTAATACAATTGATGAAACATATCAAACTATTTCTTAGGTGTGGAACACAAGTACATCCCTTTGTGACAACTGTAAACGCTAGTAATCGTGTTACAATTATAGCTGTACATTAACAAAATCTACTAATTCTATTCATTTACATTCTTAGTATAGAACATATTTGTTTGATATTGTGTAGTATTTAGTACATTTACAAAACGCTTTTCTTATATAATTATGTTTTCAATCCTGTTTTTTTTGTTCTTCAGAAAAAAGTCTCTTCAATTTCCTGTTTTAGTTGATGTTTTTCTTTCTTAAGTAAAGATTAAAAGATTATTGCCCAAATTAAGTATTATTAATGTCTGTGGAAAAAATATTCATAAGTTTAATAGAGGTTTTTGAGAGAAAAATAAAATTATCTTATGAGTCTGGAATGTATCTAATAAATATTGTTCTCCATTATCATCAATATGATTGAGTCAAAGATTAAGTATACGAAGTGTCTAAACAAAGGTAAAAATATCAGAAACAAGCCTACATGGAAACTAACTGTATTCTTTTGTAATGCATTAGCCAAATATTCTATTCCGTTGCTGTTCAATTCGTTATCTCTCAAATTGAGACTTGTACGTATCTGTACAAAAACTTAAAACTACCCATCACTAAATATAAAAGAAGAGAATGGTAATTATCATGTTGTGCTTTCGATACATCGATCTGATTACTACTAAGTTCAAGTGTGTCCAGTGACTAACAAGAAAAATAATATAATTTCAGACATGGAATAAATAAGAAGGAAAATAAAGATCATATATCAAATCGTGTTTAGTTAAAAATATAATAGAAAAAGATAGTTAGCTTTACATAAAACATTAATTAAGATAGAAAAAAAGGATATCTAAACACATATAATTATATTTTATTTCATAAAATCTTCTTCCGAAACATTTAAACTATAAATAATTTAATACGAAATAAATGTTTTGGTTTTCAACCAGTATATAACATTATTTCTTAGCCACTGAAGTAAATAATGTAGACTTCCATTTATTAACAAAATAAGAATCCCATTTAATTGGTGCCTCATCTAATTGATATTTATTTCGTTTGAGTTTCAAAGCATGACAGATGATATTACACACATGTGTTTGGAAGAATCGTTTCATACCAGCTTTACCAAGATTTGTTCGACCAAATCGTTTAAGATCAGTTGCATGTATACATGGATCAGTTAATAAATATGTTTGATGATCACCAATATCAATACCTTGTAAATCAACAACAATCATTTCACCATTTGTACGTTCATATGTCCAATGTGAAAATGCTTGTAAAGTTAATGCTGGATCTTGATAATTAACATATCCAATATTATTTGAAAATTTCTTATATGCACCTTCAATAAATCTCTCCATTGTATAATAACGAAATTTACCTTCACCTCCTTGAGGCATAAAAACTAATTTCGTCATTATAAATTTAATTTTTTTAATCATCGCTGTTGAATTATTAATTGGTGATAATTTATTGAATTCTTGTGCAAGATAATCGGCAACTGTTTGACAATCTAACATTTCTAAATATTTCTCTTTTGTATTTTCACCATTAGTAACACTTTTATATTCTTTAAGAACAAATTTTCCCCATTGACCTTTAAATAACATTGAACCATAATATGCTAAACGAAGTGCACCTTCTGCAAAAGGATTATCAGCAACTTTTAATGTTAATGATTGAATTACTTCTTTACAACGTAAAGTAGCATTACATTCATATTTGATGACTTTGACTTGTTTGGGCGGTATATTTGCCCATATTGGTTCTTTTTCTTCAAAAACTATACTACGTTGAATACTAATTTTTGATGTATTATGCGTACCCGGAGGATTTTCTTCAAGTACAGGATAATTTTTCAATAATGATACTGTTGCTCTTGAAATCGAATGTGTTATAGTATCAACGATAAATGGTAATAAGTTTTTAAAATCCCCAACATCAATTTGTTCGATCGCCATTCGACCTTCAGTGTATGTAGTAAATTGTTCAATCATCTTATCAGTATGATGAGCTAGACGACCAAAGAAATATCTCACTCCTAATTCAACAAGTTCATGTATTAATCTATATCCAATAGCTCCATTATCATCATGTGTTAAATAGTAATCACATACATCCGCTAAATCATGGTATCGTCGACCATGTGATGGACCATCAGCAATATGTATCAAAATACGTACAGGTTGTTGCCAATTCAGATTTATTGTTCGTTGTAAACCTCCAAGAACATCTTCACAAGCATCACCACCATTTTTGCATACTACTGTTGAAATAAATGTATAAAATTCATTTTCATCTGTAAAATCTAAAATACTAAATTGTTCTTCTTCACTTAAATCTAAATCGCGATAACCAACGAATGCTAAACGTATATTTAAAAATGAAAAACGAGTTTTTAATAATTTCACCGTTTCCAATATACGATCTTTAACTTCATCAATATATTTTTGCATACTACTTGTACAATCAAGTAAGAAACAAACATCAACTAATTCCGTATTATTTATTGCTTGCATAACTTCATGAATTTCTTTTGTACGTTTTATAATAAATTCTTTCGATTTTTGAGCATCTAATTGTTTTTGTGTTGTAAGAAATAATTTATCCATAGTTTCTTTTTGTAACATATCACATTGTTTCTTTATTTTTTCTAGAGAAATATTTCCATTAATATTGTTTTTCTCATTACGTTCAATGGCATCCAATTGTTGACGAAGTGCAGCTATATCACATAATTTACTTGGTGTATTCGGAAGTACAACAGATTTCTTATCCATTTTTCTTCGTCCTATAAAAATACAAAATTTATTAAATATTCTTTTCTATTTTATTATAATCTTTTATATTAATATGATCGCATGAAAATCATTTCAAATACTTCCTTTTTTTCTGTCTTTTGATTAGAAATTATTACACAATTTCAATATGATGATATGCAAGTTAATTATTATAGCTTTTTCAGATATGAGTAATTTGTTTCTCACATGACTTTATCTATTATTTTTTTTTGTGACAAAAATTAAATATGAATATTGATAACATCAATCGTTCGATAGAAGATGAGTCTAGCGATGAAATGATTACCTTGTGTTCTTTATAGCAATACTTGGATGAATCGATTTTATTTGAAGAAAAAAAAAATAATAGTGAAAATAAAAAAAAAGAAAAATAAGAGCATATGAAGAATCAATCAACCGTAACTATAAGATTGAAAAGAGACAAATGTATAATTAATATTATTTATATATACATGTATACTGTTACGGAGAAATATCTGCTGACGTTAATATTGTTATCTATTAAAAAACAAACTAGGACTAACAGATGGTATATTCTTGATAGGAACGATTTTACGTCATAATTATTGTTATTTAAATAAAATTTTTCGAGTTTATTTAAAAATTTTTATTAGTAAATTGTTATTTGAAATAACGCCATCTTCGATGAATAATTAAGAATTAAACTATACTGTTTTGCATTAGCAGGATAAAAATAAAATTTCGAATTAATAAAAGAAGATAGTTAGCTTTACATAAAATATTAGAGAAAAAAAGACATCTAAACATATATAACTATAAAATCTTCTTCTAAAAATTATTGAATAAGGAATAAATCTTTTAGTTTTATTTGGCGTTATTTCTTGGAAGCTTCAGTAGCCATACTACTATTTGGTTTTTCACAAATGTAAGAATCACATTTCGATGATGCTCTGTCTGGCTGATGTTCATTTCGTTTAAGTTTGAATGTTTGACAAATGATATTACACACATGTGTTTGAAAAAATCTTTTTATACCAGCTTTACCAAGATTTGTTCGACCAAATCGTTTAAGATCAGTTGCATGTATACATGGATCAGTTAATAAATATGTTTGATGATCACCAATGTCAATACCTTGTAAATCAACAACGATCATTTCACCATTTGTACGTTCATATGTCCAATGTGAAAATGCTTGTAAAGTTAATGCTGGATCTTGATGATTAACATATCCAATGTTATTCGAAAATTTCTTATATGCACCTTCGATGAATCTTTCCATTGTATAATAACGAAATTTACCTTCGTTACCTTGTGGAACAAAAACTAATTTTGTCATTATGAATTTAATTTTTTTGATCATAGCTGTTGAATTAGTAGCTGGTGATACTTTATTAAATTCTTGAGCAAGATAATCAGCAACTGTTTGACAATCTAACATTTCTAAATACATTTCTTTTGTATTATCACCACCTGTAACGCCTTTATATTCTTTAAAAACAACTTTTCCCCATATATCTTTATATTGTAATAAACCATAATATGCTAAACGTAGTGCACCTTCTGCAAATGGACTATCAGCAATTTTAATATTTTTTGATTGCATCATTTCTTCACAATTTAAATCAGAATTACATTCATATTTAACAACTTGTACTTGTTTAGGTTGTATACGTGTCCATGTTGGTTCTTTTCCATCAAAAACTATACTACGACGAACACTATTTTTTGCTAAACTTTCTGTACTAAGAGGATTTTCACTGTTTACAGCATAAGTTTTCATTATTGATGATGTTTTCTTTGAAATCGATCGTGTTACACTATCAAAAATAAATGGTAATAAATTTTGAAATTTTTCAAGATGAAATTGTTGTATTGCCGTTTTATCTGATGTAGATTTAGCAAATTGTTGAATCATTTTATCGGTAAGATTTGTTAAACGTCCAAAGAAATATCTTACTCGTAATTCAACTAACTGTTGAATACAATTAGTTCCAATTGATCCATCAGCATCGTGACTTAAATAAAAATCTTGATCTTCAGGTAAATTATGATATCGGCGACCATGTGATGGACAATCACTAACATGTATTAAAATCCGAACAGCTTGTTTCCAACTAAGGCCTATTGTTTTTTGTAAACCACCAAGAACATCTTCACAAACATCGCCACCATATTCACATTTAACTGTTGAAACAAATGAATAAAATTCTTTTTCATCTGTAAAATCTAATATACTAAATTGTTTGTCTGGAGTTAAATTGAAATCTCGATAACCAACAAATGCTAAACGTATATTAAAAAATGAGAAACGTGATTTTAATAATTTCACTGTTTCAAATATACGATCTTTAACTTCTTGAATATATTTTTGCATACTATTCGTACAATCCATTAAAAAGCAAACATCAACTGATTCAGCATCATTAAGTGATTTAATAAGTTCATTAATTTCTTTTGTACGTTTAACAACAAAATGTAAATGATCTTGAGCTTCAACTTGTTGTTGTGTAGTAGCCGATAATTTTGCAACAGTTTCTTTTTGTAATACATCACATTGTTTCTTTATATTTTCTAGAGAAATATTTCCACTAATATTATTTTTTTCATTACGTTCTATGGCATCCAACTGACGACGAAGAGCAGCTACATCGGATAATGTATTTACTGCACTGGCAATTGTGACAGATGTCTTATCCATTTTATTCTGAAAAGAAAAACTCGAATAAATATAAAAATAATTTATTATCAATTTTTGATACAATCAGGATATTCTTTTATATTGTAATTTATGGTCGATGATTGTAAGAAAATTACTTCAATCAAAACAAACTTTTCAAACATTTTATTTTATATTTTTTTATTAGAAATTATTACAAAATTTCCACAAAACGATATGCAAGTTAATTATTATAGTTTCTCACATGATTTTATCTGTATATACTTTTTCTTATGAAAAAAAAATAAAATATACATGTTGATGGTATCAATCTTGAGTCTTGTGTTAAAATTTCATTTATGATGTTGATGAAATGATAATTGATCGCGGAGATTCATGTGTAAGAGAATACCTATGAAAACTTACTGCAATTAATTTATCTAGTGTTGTTTGTCGTCATATCTGAGCAAGATAGATAATTAATAGATTGAATGAAAATGTGTTAATGAAGAAAACAAATCAAACATATGAAGAAAAAAAACAGTGAAGTAGAAAAATAAAAATGCATGGTGAATCAATCGACCATAACCTTATACATAGAAATAAGATACTAACAGAAATGAAAAAAAGGTATCATTGATAATTTTGTATAAAAGCATGTATATATGCATCGTCATACAGAATGACAGCTGATTCAAATATCTTTATTATATTGTGATGAGTCATTTTAACTGAGGAAAAAAAATACAGAAAATATGAATAGCTTAATAAACATTGGTTTGGAAGTATTTTTATCAGTAAAAATTTTGAATGAAACATTATAGATCAGAAAAACATAAGATAAACCAGAGATTCGTATTATGAGAGATGACGAACTTCGACAATAAAATTTATGATTAAATATATCTTTGTAATTACACATTTAGTCAGAACATTTGATTCAAGTTTATATTTTTTTAATATTTAATTTATTTTCTTTTAAAAAATGATAAAAGAAATGAATGTATACACGAAAAAGAATAGAAAAAAGTTTATACATTACTTTCTTTCTCTTCATTGTTCTATTAAAATTATTTTAGTGTTGAACAAGTATTAATATCGGTACTTTTTAGGTTTCTCCGATCATTCTATCAGGGTGTGAGTTTCGATAGAAGTATGAGTATGAATCGATTTGTATTAATAGTTGAAAAAAACAATTTCTTATATTTTATCACGAACAGTCTTGACAATTAAAAGAAATATTCACTATAATGTTCATTTGAATCTTGATTGATAAAAATAATTTGTTTTGATTCAAACAACATTTCTATTTTATTGTAAGTCTATATCTTAGAATAAAATTCATTAGAACGACAGAATTAGAAAATAAATTGTATCATATTCATTCAACAATAGATTTGAACTATAGTCTCACATTATAATTGAAACCTATTGTTATCAAGGACTAAAATTAATCGACTTTGTTAATTCGATTTAATAAAAACGGTTAAAACTTGTATAAACGTCGATTTTATTATCATCATATTTTCTTGTTATATGTTTTTAGCAAGGTATGTTTGATGCTTTGGTCTTATGACTTAAATCTGCTTCATATTTATTAAAATTCTATTACTGAAATTCATCAAGGGGATATAGCTCAGTGGTAGAGCATTCGACTGCAGATCGAGAGGTCCCTGGTTCAATCCCGGGTGTCCCCTAACTTTTTTTTTCATTTTTGTTCAACTCTTCAAATACTACTAGAATTAATTATAGTTGATATCTGTATATATGTAGGATATGGATGTAAATATTTTATTTATCACTTATATCTACACTTTTAATACCAATCCGACTTCTATGATATCTGAACTCTTCTTTTTTACTAGACATATAATCAATGATCTTTTTTGGATAAACTGTTAGATGTGTTGAAACATCGAGGAAAGGAAAGAATAGAGCTCGGAAAAGGAAGTATATTATTTTTGTTTTAAATATTGCTTTGATATAAAAATTACAATAACAAACTTAAGTAGAACAAAGAGCTTATTAGAATTTTCAATGGTTTATGCGTAATCTCATGCTGAAGATCAACAATAAAATAGTAACATGTGAGGGATACTCATAGTGACGAAACACACATGTAAAACTTGAATATCCAAGTTAAAGGTGTGAGGAGGTAATTCAGAAGAAGATTTCTTCAGGATGAAGGCGACGCGATACACGGAGAACAAATCTAGAAGTTGAATAGTCGAATACTTGAATTACAAAAAGCTAAAGCTCATGACGAATTTAATACCACCGTTGAAGATTTTTAAAAAACACAAATTTTTCTTAAATAGTTAACAGTCAATAAGTTAAGAGATTGGAAAAAAACAATGCCTCCACGCAGGATCGAACTACGGACCTCCAGTTTACAAGACTGGCGCTCTACCACTGAGCTATAGAGGCATGTCGACCGTGACTTTTTTCAATAATACAAATCTAATTGAAATTTATTAGAAGCTCAAATTTAATACTTCAAACTAAATCTTATTTCGGATTCTTACATGTTAAAGTAATTACTTTATATTTAAGATTTATTTTTCAATGAAAAACAAAATATCATTTTTAAGATAATTCATTAAATTGGTTTTTTGTGAAATAACAAGTAATTTTTATTAATATAATATATACAAAAGACATCTTGAATAATTTATATAATTAAAACTGGCGTGATTATTTTTCTAGAAGCATTAAAAAATAGTATAAAATTAATATAAAGATATTTTTATAGAAATCTTATAAAGTTAAAATTCTGTTCATAGTTTAATGTTAACTTTCTTCATTTAAATATTTTAAGCAAAGCTGGCACGAGAAACACCAATTCCACGGAATTCCCAATGCCAAGGTTCGGATTGAACAGTACGAGTAAATCCATATTTATCTGCATTGTTATATAACCATTGATAGACTTTGCTTCCATTACAATCAGGTTTAGATCCTGTTTGCTTACCACAATTAGTATTTAAGTCAAGAGCAATACCTTTACCATGATTTGAAGTACCAGGTTTAGCAGCTAAATTACCATTGTTACATGATTGTGTTTGATAACAATTCCAGAAATATTGTTGACGAACAAGTGTACGAAAGCCAGATGAAATAGTAATTATTACACCATCCTGTTTAGCAGCGGAAGCCATCTTATCAAATGCACAAGCAGTTTGTGTAGTCATAGTATTATCTGAACTAGTAGGTGGTAATGAATATGTACTTGGATCAGTAAGATGTTCTTGCTTGATTTTAACTACTGAATACATTACATTATCATTACCAGCGATCGAACTCACAGGAGCACCAATATAACTCCCACAGAGACCATCACTAGAGCTTCCAGAATCACTATTAGAAATGCAACATTGAATATTTGCAGCACCCGGACATTTGCCAGGTACCGGTTTAACTGAACATGACAATGTATCAACACATACTCCATTCTGTCCATTGGCTATACAAGAAGGTGTCGTTGGTATACAACATTGAATATTTACAGCACCGGGACATTTGCCAGGTACCGATTTACCTGAACATGAAGATGTATCAATACAAGTTCCTTGAATGTTGTTGGCTGTACATGTTGTTGATGTTGATATGACTATATGTCCGAATAAGATTAAACAAGTAAAAACTCGAATCATGGCTTTCAGCTTGAAGTGAAAGAAGAAAAATGAATATGATGTAAATCAAAATCATAAAATCGATTCATTTATATAACATATAGTTGGTAATTTTTTGGTAGAGAAGTGATATTGCGTAGTCATTATTAACGTCATCATCATCATCATCACCCCATAATTTGCTTTTTCTCACTTCCTTTTTTCTCCTATTTTCATCGTTTATTCTCTTTCTACTCTTTGCCTTTCACCTTATTGTTAGGTATGTGCGCAAATACGATTGAAGCACATTTATCAAATTCTGTCACTTTATATGCAAGTTTAATGAGACGAAAAGGTATGAGAAAATCTCTTGCGTCATCATTTCATGACAAAGTTTGATAGATGAAATCGAAAGCAAACATATTTCCGATGTAAATTTTCGTTATCAATAAGAGGAATTGATTTTTACATGAATATAATTTAAAAATGTGAAAATAATAGTTGTAGAGATAGATGAAGTACATATAATATTAACATTTCGCAGAAATAATTTTTCAACGAAGCCAGTACAGAATATTATATTTTTGCGTTATATACATGTTAAACAATTAGACAATGTCAAAAATAATAAATAATCTTCAGTAGTTCATCAGTACAGTGTAACATAATATGACATTTCATATCTGAAACAATTATCTATATATTTTTTCCATCGCATCATTTATCATTGTATTGAATAAATATTCTTTATGTCTACTTTATTCTTCTATTTTGCTCTTAATTAATATTCGAAATAAAGAAATAGATAAAAATATTGCACATGTATTCAGTTGAAAAGAATAAATTTACTCTAGAATTTCAAAAAGAAATTATACACATCCTCCTGTAGATTGTTTATATAGTGATGATGAAAAGATATTCGTTCCTCTTTATGTCGTGTGACATTAGATATAAATGAAATTTTCATATTATGTATGTTTATAACTATTTATTGAAAAGAAGAAAGTTATAAATATAGGGTCTCTGAATGTTTAAAAACGATCACTGCATCCAAACCATTTGCATTGTAACCATCTTAAGAAATCTAAATCAAGTGGAACTGTTTGTTTGATCCACATTGCTCGTCGGTCACTATCATGATCACCAACCATCAATCCTGTATTGGGATGAAATAATACTTCAAATTCACCATGATTTTCTGACATCCATGCAAGAGTATCCTGAAGTAATTCATTTGGTAAATAAACACCCCATTGTCCATATGGATGTGGTCCATCAACACCCATAACTGGATCCCATACACACATACGAGTACAATTATCAAATATTCCTCCCATAAAACAATTTCCAAGACATTTTTCAATATTAAAATATTTCATAAATTCTGTTCGAATAGCAAGTGCACGTGCAGTTACATTAGCATTTTCATGAAAGAAATAAGAATGTATATGCCATGAATAATAATAAAGTGTATCATTTTCCTTTGGTAATGAACGTAATTGTGGATGAAAATCATTATTTGATTGTCCTGGTAATGGTGGAAAAAATAGATTAGGATCGATTGCAGCTTGATCAGCAGCTTTAACAGATAATGTACGACGAGTTTTAGGTACTTCAATCGAAGGATTCATGCCAGATGATTGAGCTTTTATACGTATATATTCATTTCGTAAAGGATCATGACTATATACCAATGTAGCCAAAAATAATACTAATGTAAGACAACGCAACATCTTGTAGAATACAGAAGAATATCAGTGTGTGTCGTTGTTAAAGAAAAAATACATCATCTTATATAGTCATTCTTATCTTCTATTGCGCCTGTGTCATAGATGACATTTGTTTTTTATATTATTAATTCTTACATAATAGATGACAAGCAAAATTCGACATTATTATAAGAAATGACTGGATCATTTTTATAGGTTAAATATCTTTTCTGCATAAAATTATTTTGACTTGGAGAAATTAATATTCCCATTCATGTAAACAATTTTACAACGTATATTTTTAAAAAAAAACAACATTATATCTATTCAGAGATATTCTATCTCGCAATTATTCTGATTCATTCGTTGTATAAAACATCAACAACTCAGTCATATTTTTTCTTTGTTATCTATTTCTATTTAGGTTTAAATGCTGTTTTATGATTACACTGCATTATATATATTTATTTACGTATCAGTTAACTCATGACGCAGAATAATAATCGACTTTCTCTCAATGAATACAAAAGAAAAAAAGAGACGTGCGCAAAACAAGCACTTTTTTATTCTTATCTTTTTTTCTTTTTCAAAAATAATTATACCATATTTGTGTTTCATAACAATATCATTTCGATTAACATAATAATATATTTAATCGAAGATATACGAATTTTATTTGTCATACTTGTTTTCGTTGTTGCAACGAATAAATTATGATATTGAAACTTATTTTGGAGTTATAGTTAAAGTTTAAGTGAAGAGGTCGACATCCTATTTCTTTATTTATCAAATAAAGTCCTATATTTGATAAAGATAAAACACCAGGAGAAAAAAAACGTCGTATATGCATATGTGTTTTTCTGCGATGATGATATATTAATTCTAGAATGAAATGATATCCAGAAAAATTGAAACAAAATATTTTTTCAAAGATTTAAGTTTGATCATTTGTTTAATAAATAAATCGGTAACATATTTCGAAAATCTTTTACATGAACTTTTAAATCTTAACGTGTATATGAAGTATTCAATCGTTCATTCATATCGAAATTAATTTTTTTTGAATTTATTACAATAATATTATTACTCCTTATCAAGTATTTCATTTACCTATACTGAACTATTATAAAATATTATTAAATAGCATTGAATGAATATGAATTTATTTCTGAAGTATTCATATAAATATTATTTTTATAGTTCAACTTTTATCAATAAAATTATTGATTATATTACTAATATTCAACAATGTATTTTCTCATTTTGGATTGACAAAAAATTAGGAACTTTATATCATACATATCAGCAGTGGAGAAAACTTCTATCGATGACATAAATGATTATTTTCAGCGGAAAAATGGTGCCCAGGTCAAAAATGCATATGTGATTCATGGAAATGGTGGTCGTAATAATACATAGAAAAATGCTTGTAGATACGCCTGTATGTATACATATATACAGTAATAAGGAAAAATGGTGTTCAGTATAATGACAGTATTATTAACGAGAACCTTGAAACTACTGGAAAAATCTTGTTAATCACAGACAATCATCACATTCATCTGAAGAATTCTGTGAGACAGTCATAGTTTCAAATCTTGTCATTATTTTGTTTGTTCAGTTCATCCTTTAGCGAGTTTTTTTTGAAATATTTTAATTGACATTAATTCTCTAAGATATTACCGGTAAATATTAATAGTAATCAACTTTTCGTTCAGCATAGAAAAACATTTCACAATAGCGAACAGTATTAATAGAGAAACTGTATTATAATATGATGAACAATGTATTGTAAAGAAAGTGAAAAGAAATTAATGTTATATAGAAGAACGATATAAAGAGATTTTATTTACCATTAAATAATGTTTAGTAAGAGTTTCAGGATGTAAGTGTGGGTGAATCAAGGATGACTCCACATCCACACCCATATTTTTGGTTTGGATTGTATGACTAAAGAAATGTATTTTTCAAAAAGTTAGTCATTCATAATCAGTTTATTGATAGAAAAAATAATACTATTGTAAAAGAATAAAAATAATTTATTAGCGAAAAATCTAGTGAAATGATTTGTTTTTAATCAGCATTCAAACTCTTTTCCGGTTCCACCCAATCATAATGAGCTGCCATTTTTAAAAGAAAATTTTGACTTGGATGAAGTCCAGTGAAATCATGAGGAAAGCCAACTTTAAATTCGTATGCATTTTCAATTTCTTTGATTTCTTCTTTATTTAAGCGTAATTTTAAAGCATCTATATTATCTTGCAAATGTTCGATCTTTCGAATGCCAACAATAGGAAAGATGTATGGTTGTTTTGCCATTACATAAGCCAATGCAATTTGTGTTATCGAAACATTTTTAGCTTTGCTAATTTTATCGAGTACAGCAGTAACAGCTTTATCCTCTTCAGATGGACCTAGATTAATACATTAAATAAAATGAAAATTATTAATAATATCTTCAGTATAAAATTTAAATAGAACTACACAAGTTTGATATTTATATTAACCTTTTCTAAATCCACCAAATGATCTTCCTTTATCACCTGCCTTTTCCATTGCTTCTAATTGTTCTTGTGTTTTAAATTTTCCTCCTCCAAGTGCTTGCCAAGGTGCAAAAGCCATACCTTCATCTCGAAGCATTGGAAGAATATCTCTTTCTGCATCTCGTTTAGCAGCATTGTATAGACCTTGATAGACTGAAAATTGACGAAGTCCATGATCTCTTGCATATTGATTTGCTTTTGTAACAACCCATGCAGGTGTATCACTCACTCCTAAATAGAGTACTTTGCCTGCTTTGACCAAATGATCGAGTGATTGCATTAATTCAGGAATGCTACAAGTATAATCCCACCTAAAAAGAAGAAAATAACGAATTGATTATATATTTATCTATTTAATTTTCTAAGTTCTTACCAATGTACGTAAAGAAGATCAATATAGTCCGTCTGAAGTTTTTTCAATGAAGCATTTACACTTTCATGTAAAGACTTTGCTGAATTTCCAGCAAAATTTACATGAATTGGTTCTTTTTCCCAGTCTGATCTGTATCCACTTGTAAATTTAGTTGCAATAACCATTTGACTACGATTTTGTCGTTTAGCCATCCATTCTCCTAACCAGGTTTCACTTTGTTCCTTTTGATAACCGTTGGCCGTATCAATAAAATTTCCACCAGCATCGAAAAATGTATCGAGAATTTTAAATGAATTTTCTTTTGATTGTATACCCATTTGTTCCCATGCATCACCAAGAGACATTCCACCTAGACATAGTGGTGACACGCGAACAGCGGCAGTTGGTGATAAAAGACGATATTTACCAAGAGCACTTGGAGGTGATGGTGCTTCTTGCATATTTTAATTATTTTAAATCTAGAATTGTAGAAAATGATTAAAGTTTTGATATTTTTCAATCATCTTTTCATACTAAAGGCCTATACCGTAAATAAAGCTGGTGAAACTAATATAAATTTCTACTGTATGCACTCTTTTTTACATGCGAGACGGTTATAAATTTATCGGAGAGAATAAGAAAGCATGTGCGTTTATATACATAGACGTCATCGACGACAAGAATAAGAAAGAAAAGGACAAGGACATTTCTTTCGGTATATACAATAAATCGTACTTTTTGTTCGTTCTTAACGTCTATTTTTATCCTCGTGCACTTTTATAATGAAGAAAAGGTATGGGTAAAGTAATAGGCAAGAATATGTGACTGAAAAATAAATATCAGACCTCGAAATAGTATTCGATCTCATCCGATGTATATATTTTACTAGGAGAAACAATTATTAAATTTCATTCTAAATGTTTGGACAAACCGAATAAATAATTACTATTAAGACTACAAGTATCGAAGAAAATACTTCTAATCTACTGAATTGATCTTTTGCAAAGCACAATGGATATCCAACATAATTTTTATATGGCAGGTTTATAAAATAAATGCAAACAAAAATTTTAATACTATTACATAAAGAGACATAACTTATTTTATACTGCAATATTTCTTGTATTTTCTCTTTTCTCTTATATCAGCAATATACAAAGTCTGACCTGTTTAAACAATATATCTAATATAATTTTTACGATCTCTCAAATATTATTATTTCTACCTAACCTAAAAATGTACGAAGAATATTATAGTTTTATTTATTTATCATAAACTTACTTCTATATTAGTAGATTTTCCTATAAAAAAAGTTATTCAAAAATAATTGTGGGTATTCATTTCATCTTTTACTTACACCTCCACACCCACACCCTTTTTCAAATCTTCAAACACATTCCAAGGTGAATAATAGATTAGAATATCTAATTATATTCTTAAAGTTCATTAGATAGCGTCATGATAACGAATTGACTATGACGAGTTCAAATATTGTTCAACAATAAATGATATAGGGAAGGGAAAAACAAAACTTGACGGTCATTGTATTGTGATATCATATATATATATTCACATGGACTCGAGGTTATCCATGTAACAACACAATGAGGTTAATTTCATTTTGTGTTTGGAACTTACTTCTTTTGATTATGATTGGTACACCTTTTGAGAACGAAGACAAAAAATGAAACTTAGAGTCAACACAAAGTAAAAGAAAATACTTAATTCAAAAGTAATTCTTTTTATTTATTTTCAGCGAGTGTTGAAACAACTTCTGCATTTTCTTCTCTTGTCAATGGCAATTCTAAGTGGTCAAATCATAGTATCACCGTTGCTGGTAGTCGAGACTCTGGAGACAAATTAAATCAACTTCTGTATCCAATCGGATTGTATGTTGATGATGATGACACTCTGTATATTGCTGACACTGGCAATAATCGTGTCATGGAATGGAAGTCAGGTGCAACCGTTGGACGAGTAGTCGCCGGTGGAAATGGTTTTGGTTCGAAGATGAACCAGTTATTTGATCCTACGGATGTTATCGTTGATCATGAGAGCGATAGTCTCATTATTTGTGACCGAAGAAATACGCGAATTGTTCAATGGCCTCTACGAGGTGGGACAACTGGACAAATAATTATTTCAAACATATCTTGCTTTGGATTAGCAAAGGATAATGCTGGTTTTCTTTATGTTACTGATACAATGAATGATACTGTTAGACGATGGAAGATAGGAGATTACACTCGAGAAGGAATAGTAGTGGCAGGTGGAGATGAAATAGGTGGCAATCTCAATGAATTGGACGGGCCTAAATTCTTATTTGTTGACTCAGAGCAATCAGTATATGTAACTGACTGGAGTGACAACCATCGAGTAACGAAGTGGACCAAAGGCTCAAAACAAAGTCTTGTTGTTGTTGGTGGGGACAATTATATTGAAGGTCACATACAACTATCGGATCCTCGAGGTGTTGTTGTCGATCGATATGGTACAGTCTATGTAGTAGAAAATCTGTTTAGCCTAATAACGGAATGGCCGAAAGGAGCCACTGATGGAAAAATTATTTTAGATCGACCAGCTTATCTGGAAGAAAATTGGTTTAACGGTCCAGAAGATTTATCGTTCGATCGCAACGGCAATCTCTATGTTGTCGATTCGCATAATAGTCGAGTGCGAAAGTTTCTCTTAAAATAGAATTTATCATTGTATTGTTACATATATCTGTAGTTTCTTGTCACTTATCTCTTGTATCTTGTAATTATTCTATCACTCACTTTGTATATGTTGTGATTCTTTGAAAAATAAAGTTGATGTTTGTCCTCGATGAGTTGGATGACTATTCGAAAAATATGATAATAAAGTTAAGATATTGAATTCTCACATTCATATGAAATCCAATCGCAGTTTCTTTTTTCCTTGTAATTTTCAGATTTTTCGTGCATCTGCAGAACACCACAGCAACAAGTTTTCTCTGCTGTTGTTTTGTGCAACCAAGTAGAATACATTTAAGTTACTGTGTAAAGAGAAAATTTGTTTATTTAGTATTTATGTACGAATCATATTGAAGCTTGCACTTTTGATGAACATGAATCCAAGGTTAGCAGTTGCATCTTTGACAGATAAAACAAAAATAGTTTACATACTCATTTATATGCAGATGAATGTGAAGAGTGAATGTAGGTATTGATGTAGAAATGAGAATAAGTGACTGTGAATCAGGATTCTCATTAAAATAAAGATAAATTGATCCAAATATGTTCATTTCAACAAGAAAGTAGTCAGAATCAATTGCAATTAGTAGATGAGTTTTGCAATGAAGACAAAGCGGACCATGCTGTATGATGGTACACACGAGAATCATCTTGAGGGGTGTGGGTGTGGGTGTAGGTGTGGGGTGTGGGGTGGGTGTGGGTGTGGGTATGGGTATGGGTATGGGTATGGGTGTGGGTGTGGGTGTGGGTGTGGGTGTGGGTGTGGGTGTGGGTGTGGGTGTGGGTGTCAGTAAAGAGAGAAGCACCCACACCCACACTCACACCCACACCCACACCCCACCCTCCACCCCATTCCCACTCTACCACACCCACAACCACACCATCAAAGTACTCATTGAATAATTGATACATAAAATGATCAAGTTTTGACTGGTCTAGTTAAGAGTTTAGACCAGCTGAACCGATTTCAGATACGTCTCATATCTACACCCACATCATCGAGGTTCGTAAGTGTTATTCTACATATCGAGTAGTTTCACAAGCAATGAGGCTAATAATATCGTCAGTGAGGTAATGTCGACCGTGATCAATACGAATGATCGTATTATCTTCTGAATTTGCCGGTACTTCTTCACCAACTTTATGATCTTCCAGGAATTCAGCATCCGATTTTGATTCTATTTCATTCTAGCAAAATCCTCATCCAAAAAACTGAAGAGATCAACGAGTATATTTGTCCAACGATGAATGCACATAAAAATCAGATCGAATCGAAATGATGTAGTTAAGATAAAATAGAGTTTATTGAAAAATGTTCTTAAGCAAAGCAAAAGCGCGTGGTACTATGATAAGCGAATCAAGCAAGCAAGACATCGAGCGATGTAGTGTTATTGTTGAATTACAAAAAACTTATTGTTTTTTCTTACAACAATGAAAATGTTTGACTTATTTAGATCTTAAAGTTTATTAAATTTTTGAATTCGATAATTGTTATAATCGGCAATGTACATGTTCATTGATGAGTCGAATGCAATACCTCTTGGTCCATTCAATTGTGTTGCTGTACTACCAGATATAATATTGCCAGCAATTGTAATACCTATCGAACTATTAGGACAAAACATTTGTACTCTATTGTTGTTTGTGTCGACAACAAATACATTCTGATAGATATCGATTTTGATACCCGTCGGAGTATTTAACAATGACGAACTGGAGCCTAATAGATTTGGAATACCAGCTATGAACTCACCTGATGAAGCACCGGGAATCCATCGCATCAGTGTGTGTCCATTGGCGTTTGTTATATACATATAATTACTCACTGATGGAAGATAATAGATTCCCCATGGTGAATTCAACTGATTATTATTGTTACCGGCTCCATTTCCGCCAGCAACAAGTGTTCCGTTATTTCCTGTTGTTGAATTCGTTAAATAGCGCATAATACGATGGTTATTGAAATCTGTAATATACATAAATGTTTCTGTTGAATCGAAAGTAAGATATCGAAGACCATTAAATTGATTGAGTGAGACACCGTTTGAACCAGATATTCCAGCAACGGTTTGTCCAATTGTTGATTGATTCACAAATTTTTGGACGCGACTATTATAATAATCAGTCACATACATATTTGATTGTGAATCTACATAAACATCTTGCGGAAAATTGAATTGATTAGCACTGGAACCAGCTGATTGTATTACTCCAGCTACGAGAATAGCAGTTGATGTATTTTTTGGCAGTTTCCACACAACCCCATTCGAATACTCATCCACAGTATATAATGTATCATTTGAATCGATATAGAGGCCGCTGACATGTGTTAGTTGCGATGAACTAAGTATTGTTATGCCGGTTGTATTCCATCGTAAACCATTCGGTGCACCTCAAAATACAATATTCTCACATTATAAACGAGACAGCAGTTATTGCAATACTTCTCAAAGTCTTCAGAAATCTCGAAAGATAAGAAACGTTTCGTTCTACACAGTATATGCGATGTATATCGATTTATGATTTGGTCATCGTAAAAAAAGGGTCAGCTGAATGAATTGCAGAACATTAGAGCACGACAACTAACTTAAGACCAATTTTACTTGATACGCTAGTCTATAATGATGTAAATTTTAATAAATCCTCAGCATAGTACGCATAACTACGTCACAATATTTTTCAGTCATGGATCACATAACGATCAAAGTGCGGCCATAAATGCGACGTAATTCGATCGTAATTGAACTCATAAGTAGGCACTGTAGGTCTTAGACTCGTTGAATTTCCTTTCCTAAAAGCTCTTCTTGATTTTAAAGGAAGATACTTTTCTTCGACTGTTTGGAAATGTCCAACTCTCGTATATTATCATTATAATCGATTGACTGAAACGATAATCAGTAAAAAAACTAATTAAATCCTAGAACTTTTGTGGATTCTTTCATCAAAGTAACTGAAAATTTACTCGCTTACATGGGTTTTTTGATGTCGTTGTTGTAGTATTGGTATTTGTGGTGCTGTTGATGGTGTTTATGGTGCTGTTGATATTGTTCGGGGTGCTGTTGATGGTATTCGTGGTGCTTTTGGTGGTATTCGGAGTACTGTTGCTGGTGTTCGGAGCGCTGCTGATGTAGTTCGGGGTGCTGTTGATGTTGTTCGGGGTGCTGTTGGTGGTGTTCGGAGCGCTGCTGATGTACTTCGGGGTGCTGGTGATGTTGTTTACGCTTAAGAAGTATATAAAAATTTTCCTTATTTGAAAGATGAACTAATTTTTGATGGATTAAATCAAAATCGATGAACACAATGAAAGTTTACCAACGACTCGTTCCAATAAAAAAGTAATTGAAAGTTCTTTTTCATTCGCAATTAGATGTAATAAATTAAACTTGGAAGGAGAAATTATTCATTTTGAATATGATAGATATCTACTCATGTGAATATACGTATATGTATACATCAGAGGCATACAACAATAGTTTCTGGTCTTATAAAAACCGCTTCAAATTTAAACTGGATTAAAATATACGAACTTTTCGTTCTCGATTTTATGTACGAGAAAATGAAAGAAATGCAATGTTACTACAGAAAGTCGTTTGCTGAAAAAAACCAATGAATTTTTCTTCTTAAAGATTCTTTATAAAACTGAAAAGGAAATCGGTTCTATTTCCAAAATGAATGTTTTACAGTAAAATAAAACGTTTGAAATTTGTTCTGTAGTGCACTAATAGGCAATCGGATCAGGAACTTAAGTTACTATAAATTTACTGTTTCATAAATTTGAATCGATGATGCTCACTCCGAAAAGTTATGTTTATTATTATTCGATGATTCCAAACCGTCATGACTTTATTCTAATAATAATCTAAACTAATAAAATTTGGAAGTCATTCAAATGTTAACCATTCGATTACCCTCCTCGTTTAACTTTACAGGAATTAGTAGTCGAACAAGTGCACATGTACATTAATCTATTCGCTTTTATTCGAGTAAACTGTGGATTAAGAATTAGCTATTCACTGAAGCGAGTGTCTATCTTTATTTCCAACTAAAGTATAATTATGCTAAAATCTCATTTAGATAAAGAGTAAGTATTGTAACCGGAACAAACTATTTTGTATAATATATCTTATTTAGATCGATTTAGTCGTATAAGTAGTAGTCCTTGAAGGACACAAGAACATATCAGAAATTTCCTAAGCATACCTTGTCAATGTTGTGTTCGCATTTAGACCTAAAAATATCACACATATTTATCATTATTTTACAAGAGAAATGGCAATATTTTTACTCACCGTAAGTTGAAATCATGATTGTTTTTGTTGTAACTAAATATCAAGGGGGAAAAAGCGAGACTTCATCTACTTCAAAACTTTTTTGAAGTACGATGGGAGTACAGAGGAGTACGATGGGAGTAAATGGAAGTACGATGGGAGTAAATGTAAGTACGATGGGAGTACGATGGGAGTAGATGGAAGTACGATGGGAGTACAATGGGAGTACAAGGGAGTACAAAGGGAGTATAATGGAAGTACAGGGGAGTACGATGGGAGTACAGATGAAGTACAATGACCCATTGTAATTCCATCATACTCCCATCGTACTCCCTTGTACTTCCATCGTACTCCCATTATACTCCCATTGTACTCCCATTGTACTTCCATCGTACTCCCATTGTACTCCCATTGTACTCCCTTGTACTTCCATCGTACTCCCATTATACTCCCATTGTACTCCCATTGTACTCCCATTGTACTCCCATTGTACTCCCATTGTACTCCCATTGTACTCCCATTGTACTCCCATTGTACTCCCATCGTACTCCTGCTGTACTTCCATTATACTCCCTTTGTACTCCCTTGTACTTCCATCGTACTCCCGTTGTACTCCCTTGTACTTCCATCGTACTCCCGTTGTACTCCCTTGTACTTCCATTATACTTCATTATACTCCCATCGTATCCTTTTGACAATGGAAGTACAAGGGAGTACGATGGGAGTACGGAAGTCTCGCTTTTTCCCCTTTGCTAAATATACAGAATCACAATAGATAACAAAAAATAGGAACTGATGCACACAAAATTACAGATGAATGAAATATAGTCATCTTCGCACCTAGAAACATATTTTTCTCTGCTAAAATTTTCATTTATTCTTTTTGTGATATGAGAACGAAAAACAAATGCTATAGAACACGAATTGTCTTCAAGAAAACTAATTATTGTGTATAATAAGATTATTTATACATTATCAAATTTTGATTATTTCTCATATTTTTTTTATATCTATGGATTACAGATATATGTAGATTTAGCACTCATCAGATAATATACCGACCTTTCGTTGATGTTAAAATTAAGAATGATCCATTGATTGTTGTTACTACAAAAAATATTTAATATTTCTCAGAAATTATAGAAAATAAGAAACATACAATTATTATTATTGCCTTTTTTTTGACCAGAGACTATAATTGGAACTCCAACAACCACGATAAGTAAACCAATAATACCCACAACCATAAGTACTATTTTGGGACCTGTTAAACACCGGCTGGCTCCTTTGTTTGTCATCTTGGCCGACACTTGTGATAATTGGCGGCCACCTTTCTCATTTTCCATAGCTGGTGATTTTGAACCTTGTATCACCATTTCAATGTTACTGCCTGTTAGTGATTGTTGATTTTTCTAGAAAAAAAAAGAATAGTTGCTCTGATCTATTTTCCACTAGTCATTGTTCATCGGATCATAAAAATAGATTGTCGATTATGATAATATAATCCTTGTAAACGACAGGTTTTTTTAAAGTCATTTTATCTTTGAAGAGAGCTAGAAATACTCTTAATTATTATTAACTTATTCGCTTCAAACGGAAGAATAGAACGTTTTAGAATTTCTTTTTTTCTAAAGTTTGAATTATATCTCTATGGGAAAAACTGGAATTACTTTTCAGATAAGATTAACTTACCATGGACATGTTAAAACGAATAATGTGCTCGACTGAACGAAGAATTCTTGTTTGAAACTGTTGATTGTTGGTAATAATCACTAATGAAAATATTTAAAACAAAAGATACGAGGTGCTTTGACGTCGTTTTTTTTTGACGATGAAATAGCGTCGCTCATCACAAGGTGAAGATAATTTAATATTCAAAAATGAATGAAGAAACGATCCGCATGATTTTCTTACTCGTAGAATATATTGTCGCTTACCACACGGCGAAGATAGTTTAATATTCAAATATGAAATAAGAAACGATTTGCATGATTTTCTCACTCATAAAATACAGTATCGCTTACCATAAGGTGAAGATAATTTAATATTCAAAAAAATGAACGAAGAAACGAATGATTCTTTTCTGTTAAATTCATTGTGAAATTGAGCTCGACAACTTGATTAACACAATAATCAGTGTGACAAACGTTATAAATATTGAAACTATCTTGTATTATCAAGCGATTAATTCTAATAAAACAATAACACAGAATAAATTCTTTGTATAAGATATTTTATTGATTAAATATTATGAAAACAACAAATTTCTTTTACATAAATATGATTAAATTGACAAAAATGAGTATATGAACAATTATTTAAGATTAAGTGACACTAATGATTAAATATTTTTCTATATAAAAAAAATCAAAAGAAAAAAGAATCTCGAAGATTAATATCCGAACAAGATCACTTCAGAATATTGTACACTATATGATGTTGAACGCTTGCCTGTGACAAGAAATCGATAACTCCTATATTGAATTGAATTATCAATCAATTGTACCATTGCACATGTGTATCGACCAGGATCCGTCTCAAGACCAGTACTGCCACTGTAGATCAGTGTCCAACTTGAACCGGCAAAAAAAGCACTTGCGAGTCGATTTCTCTTCTGATTTTTATTCAAACGTTGAATTAGACGAAATCGTGCACATGGAAACCCAAAGTCCATACGAGAATTGATCGAATCTGTTTCCGATGTAATCTCAGCTGAAATCTGACATGAATCTCATTTGATTCATTCTTTTTCGATCGGATGGAATCCTTTGACAGTGTTTATGACTTGTTGTTGTTGTTGATTGAAACTCATAATTTTAAAGAAATGCGTCAAGGCTTTCTGCTAGCATCAATAATTAGAAACGTTTCCCATCTGTTTTATTCTTTTCTACTATGCCTGACTTTTCTACAAGAAACAAAATCATTCAATGCTTCTCGCACTGCAGATGGTGTGTTTTGTTTAAGGCTCGCACAACAGAAATGAGCAGAATATCATTGTCATTAATGGAGAAAGATATGATCAACACTTTAGTGATTGGAAAATCATAAAAGTGCGTAAAAGAAAAGTGGATTCAAGTGACGTAGATGCTTCTCGAAGGTGCTTGTTGAGTAAATGACGATCTAAGCATACAATTAGTGCAAGCTTCCTGAGCCTGAGTGTGAAAGTTGGCAGTACAAAGAGAATACTATCACTCTTTCTATTGATGAAAGAAGTTTTATTTAAATAAACGAGAAATTGTTTATTAAACAATTGATATTTCGAATTTATTTTTTCTCTTCAATTTTCATTTTGATTCTTTATTATATTTTAAATATTTAATTGTTAAAATAAATTTTTCCATTTTGACAAATTCCATTGTTATTGTTTTATCTGTTTTCTTCTCTCAATAAACCATGGAACCACAAAAATAAATCTAATAAAATTTCTATTTCGAAGTTTTTTTTTATTAATTTAAATGTTTTTCTCAAATTTGAAAAATATTCTATTTTATTTTCAAAAATAAATATATTTTTAATTTGAAATTTTTGGATTCGATGATTGAAACACTCAACACAATAAGGATTTTCTTGATTATCAACTGATCTCATTGAAAAATTATATGAAATGATCGATTCACAGAAGTTATTGAAGAATTATACAATCTTTCGGAAATTAGATATATTTTATATTCAATGGAATTAAACTCTTATTGTTTTTTTTGTTACTTCTATCCTTATTTAATAAACTTGCTTATTCAGAAAAAATTACTCATTTATTATTCTTATTCATGATTTATTATTAAGAAAAAATCTTAAAACGATAGAATATTTCATAACTACCTTACCAAATACAACTGTTTACATAGAATTAGTAGTAAAAATATTTACAATAAAAGTTTTAAAGAATAGAAAGGATGAATATACATTATTTCAACTGTCTTCTAGATTTTAAAATTTAGAAGAGAATAGGAGCATCATTTACGAAAAAGATAGTTAAAGTTATAAGAAAATAAATAAAGAGTAAAGAAAATGCTATGTATTTATATATTATTCCATAGCGACATTGGCGATTAATCCAAGGCAAAGGACAACCTAGTATACCAACACCGAGTAAAAAACCTACTAAACCACCACCAAAATGAGCTGAATGTCCTACTGGAAGCTCCAGAATACTAAATACAATCATAGTTGGGACATTAGGAAGTATCACCAGTAAGAATATTTGCAAAAGTATGAACAAACGACGTTTGGTCTTTTCTTGTATAGCAACAAGTCGATCCATAACGAAGAATATCATTAGACCATAAATAGAACCGGAAGCGCCCATACTAGCTAAAGAGAAAAATAAACTTATTAAAATACATGAAGAAGTTCTACTTTACGTACCTATGTTTCTATTTTTCAGCATGAAACTTAAACAAGCACTGAGATTTGAAAGCCAATATAAAATAACTACACGAACTGAACCATATTTACGTTCTAGTAGAAATCCATAAAGGAGCTGTTTCGAAATATTGCTTAATAGATGATACCAACTCATATGGAACAGAACAGCAGTAAAAAATCTCCATAGTTGATGTGGATACATGAAAGAGAAACATATACCTTTGTGTCTATCATCATAATCACTGGTTGGTCGCATACATGGAACAAAAAACATGAAAAGACAAGATAATGTAAACCAAAAACGTTCACCTTTCCAAATAATGTTGATATATGTTAAGAGATAAATAAATACCTGTAAAGCACCTGTACCAATGATGAATACAGCATAATAATGTTTTTGATTTGGTTCATCATCAATATTAACGATACGTCGAAGCCATGAACAAATATTATTTTTTTTAATTACTGTCGGTTTTGCATCTTCTATTACGATTGATTCTTCCATTGTTAATTCAATATTATTCTTGATAAAATATGTGATATACTTTTCTTTTCTGTACTTATAGAACGAGTTGATATGCGCGTGATATAACGTTGTATTTTTATTCTGTTATATAAAGCAGATACGTACACGAGTCAGTAAGGAATGAATGTCATCAGTTCTTTTTCTTGTTTATAAATGCCATAGATCAAGCACATGAGAATCAGAAAACACTTTGAGTTATCACAGACTAAACGATGGAATTTCCACTCGTCGCTAATATTAGCACTACTGATAACTGAGTTACAAAAACAAAAATATAGTTTTATAAGCGTCGTGTCGTCTATCTCTCTTTTTTTAACAGAGTTAATTGGAAAGACAAGAAAATATATAAACATTCTCTGCTACATATTCAAGAAGAACACATGATTGTTATCCATTGTACTGACTTTTTGTTTATCAAAATTTTACTATATCAAGTGAGATTTGCCTCTCCTTTATGAAACAATCATAACTGAATGCGGGTGTGTTCTATTGCAAATATTCCTACACCCACACCTTAAGAAACATTTGAGGTATTTTTTTCATCAAAGATATTAACCCTGATAATTCTCTTTTGCTTAAAGAATGTTTATGGAAAAAAAATATTTATATTTTATTATCTTTTTTTCTTCTATTTCTAACGTTTTTCAATTCTTAAAAGCCAACAAGTGGCGTTAACAATGTACCGAGCTGCACCTGCCGATTCCCAATTAGCATACAGTTTTGTAAAGCCACAATCTAAACATAGTCGTCCTTCTGTTGATGTCGAAGGTGGATCATATGTTGCAATACTAGTATTACCATCACTAGCAGTTGCTATCGGAATGAATATCTCGCGACTTGCTGTTGTTGAATATATTGGATGAGATATAGTGATACCCTCGAATAAACTTGTGATACCAGTAAGAATTTCATGTTGACCGAAATTTCCTGTTTCCTGATGACCATCTTCTTTGTATGTCATTTTTTGTCCACCATAATAATACCCGTCGACAGTAATACCAAATTTCGCTTTAAGAAATTCAGATGCATGGCGTACGTATGGTGTATTATCGGCAAATAAAAATATCGCACCACCCGCCGAATGAAAAGCTGTTAAAGATGAAATAAATTTTGGATTTTGAATTTGACTATTACTAATAATCCATGTGATTTGATAACGATTCGAAGCAAGTTCTGTTATACATTCATCCTCAGTCTTAACATGTTTCACTTGGAAACCTTTCTTTTTTAACTCATCTATCGGTACTTGCATTTGTGTGTCATTAAAATTCGTGGCCCAATACAATTGTGCAATCAAAATATTAAACCCCATAAATGCTCCATCTCGACCCAAATCATATTCTCTTCCACTTGGATTACCGAAAATATCATATTCAATAGCATTCGTAATATTACTTTTGCCTGCGACGTCGTTATATGGTTGCAATGGTGCTGAAACGATAGATGTTGTTGCTGCATGTTGTTTAACTATTCTTTTCTTCTGTTTTGGAGACTTTTTTCTTACAACACGTGATACAACAGCACGAGTTGTATTTGTTGATTGTAGTTGACGAGTTAACGTAGCACGAGTAACAGCTACCATTATCTGATTATGAATGATTTATAATATGTAGACCTCAAAAAGAACGGGTTTAAAAGGTTGATATGACTTAATATTTCCAGACTATACTAATAAATACTATATGTTTAATATAAGTTGTATATCATTTGTGAAGTGAAACAGCAGTTTATATAGTTTTGTATAGCACGGGAATTGCATGACGATTGTGCAATTACAATCACACATGGCATCGCTTAGGAAAGTGAATCATGTAATGTATACAACGAATAAAAAAACAGAATTCCTTCTTTATTATAAATCAACAAAATGATAGTGTACATAAATTATAACCAAATCTGAAGTGTTTGCTGTGTGCAAGTGTATGGTTGATATTTAGAACGAAAGCGTTTGTTAGGTAATACGAGTATTTTTGAAAGGGAATGGATATCTATTAGAATACATTGTCAAAATGAAATCCATTATGGTATTTCTTGTAGTGAGCACTGTTTGTAAGGTTTCATTGTCACCGATAAATGTAACTGTTTCATACGTTATAAGGAGTGGGTGTAGGTGTATATTACGTATCTTGCCCACACCCACTACCTTTATGTGTGCGCTAACAGACATTGCCATATCGCCTTTTACTTATATTCCAGCATAAAATAAAATAAAAATATGGTTGACATGGGTTGTTTTTATTCTGTTTTTTCTTCGTCTCTCTACTTTATTGATTCTATCCAGTAAAAAATTTTTTTAGTTCTTTACTTTGATAAAGATCATGAAAAATCTTATTGACACTAAATAATTTTGCAAAAAGAGAATATGGTTGTGTGGATGTGAGACAAGAACAAGGCTGATACCCACACTCACACCCACACATTGAATTATGTCAAAAAAGAAATACAACAAAGACAGTTTTTCGAAAAAAAAATCAAATAACGACAGCAATTGCAATTAATGTTAGTGATATTGATAATATCATGGCTAATACATATATAAATGCTGTAGATGATAAATGAAAAAGATTTTTTCGGTAAGAAAGATAAAGTTATGAAAAAATATGTTCATTGATGAACTCGTTAATGCGAGTTGAAGTTCTTTAAATAACATCGAACAACGAAATGCTTTTTAACTAAATAAAATATATTCACCAATGAATTCGGTTATCGACGTAAAATGATCCGAAGAAACATAAAATAACGAAGATATTGTTTGAGTGAAAAAGTTCGTCGATAAATATACGAAGAAAAATAGGCGAAGAGTTCGTAAAAACGGCGCTTATACGCGTGTTTTTTAGGGCCTTATCTGTCTGGACATATTATTAAAAACAAAGAATTGATTGATTATATAATTTTGTTAAGGATTAGCAAGCGTAATAACATCCGCAGTACTCAATTCTCGTGAATAAAGGCGAAATTCATCTAAATAGCCATAAAAAGTACCCTCAATAATTGATTTAGTAGCGCACCCAGCTGCTCGTGGATTACCCAGTGTCACCGTGTTTATTGTTCCTGAAGCTAAATATGTCGTCGCACCTGTAGAATCAATTAAACTTCCATTGACATACAATCGAACACCATTTTTAGTCGAAAACGTAGTGACGACATGCGTCCAGACGTTGGTCGACACAACGGGACCTACTACTTCTGTAATGAAGCCGTCGTAACTGCCGCCTACTATTTGTCCACTCGAAGAAAATCCCAGAAAATCAGTACACCATCCTCCTCCATCTGATTGCGCCGAAACATGAACAAGAGTTGCTCCACCGGTTGATGTTCTTTGAATCCATAGCGATATCGAATATGGATGATTTGAGATTCCAAGAACGGGAAATCCGTATAACTAAATAGAACATATTCAATAGTCTTGTCGTTCTTTTTGGATATTGAACAGATGAGTTTAATATAAGAAAATTTTGAAAGAAACAAAAACTTATTTTATACATATATATGTATATTACTCTAGTGTAAAAATATATTGGGGTGAGGGTGAAATGACGATAGTATTTTCAATCCTCAGCGATCTCCACACCCACACTTTTAATTAAGTCTATTATATACCTGATAATAAGATAACGACGAAGTAAAGCTTAACCCTTGACCCACTCTACCAGATGCTAAGATAATATTATAAGTCGTTCCATTAATTCTATTTGGACCTGAATCATAAGATATTCCACAATCAAATGAATGCCATGTACTCAAAGAGCATCCGAAAGAATATCACTTGCATTTCTAGCATTCATGTAGAGCGTAACTTAATCAATGTAACTAAATGCATAAGAATAATATAGAATCAAAAAATAAATTAATTATTTACATTTCTATTCAAGTCATAGGTCCTCTAAAAAAATGAACTGAAAGAGTAGTGGTAAAAATAAAATTTGCATGAGTACATAACAACTTATGAATATTTTTGATAACTTAATCAATAGTATCGAAGTTAGAATAAACAATACTTCTAACGCTAGATGTTTGAAACTCAACTGAATGAACAAAACGAATGATTCAATCGTTTTCTTTACCCGTCGAATGTGTGATCGATACCATCATAATAGTTTCCAATACTAATAGTACCACTTGTGCCTAAATATGGTCCAGCTGAGTTTCGACTAATATCTTGAACTCCGTTTAAATAAATAATTTGTGTTCGGGATGAATA